ATCTCCAGAAGCCTCAGTTTGACATATCACCAAGAAAATACTGATGAACCACAGAAAGAAATTCTCTCCATGTTGAAATTAATACAAGAAACAACTGCTTTAGCTTGTGATGAGATTAACAATAACACAAAGGAGATAAAAGAACAATTTTCTAATTTAAATCTACAAACTCAGAAAATAACTACAGAGAAGGACCTAGCAACCCAGAAAATAGAAGGAAAGCTAGAGAATGCTGACACAAATATTGAGGAGCTAAAGGAAGAAACTAATGACCAGACTCAGATAAATGAAGATTTAGAAGACACAACGATAATATTGGAAATGGAAAAGATATTCTACAAATCAAGATTTCAGAACATACTGGAGGATAAGGAAGGAGAGTTGACGGAATGAAAGATAGAGCAGTTAACAGAACTGTGGGGGAATTGGAGAAGGAGGAAGGCTGTTTAATGAATTTCAATGGGCTAGTTTTTCCAAAAATACTTTAACTAAATTGTTTCTCTTGTTTCAAATAATATATACAAAAATAGAGGAAGAATTATTTGATGATCCAAATGCCCTGACTTGGAAAGTTAGTTGGCAAAGGAAGAAAGCTAGAGTAAGACTGAAGAAAATAGAAGCTTGACCTATTAGAGCGGATGTTATATTACTAATTAGATGTTTGAATATGGTTAAGAATAGATTGCTAGAAATATATTATTATAACTAGATAGACAAGATTTGTAATCAAAATATCATATCTTGATATGAAAAGGGAAATAAGAATATGCTAAGAAGTTTGAATAAGGAAAGCTTTTGGTTACCCAAATATAACTTGTTCTGAAATTATAAATGATTGGGATATTTTGAACATGGATGGGAAATTAAAATTGAAAAAAAGTAAAAATAGGATATGGACTAAATAAATGTATATTGAGTGCAAATGCAATTAACGTAAGTTTTGGTTAGAAAATATATTCTAAACTGATATTATTGAAACTATTAGAAAAATGTTGATATGCAACTGTACATTTATTAACAACAATAAGAATTGTATTTGCTTAGTGTGGAAAAATGTCTATTACCAGAAGAAGAGAGGATGTATTGGAGGATGTAATATTGGGTTTAGTTTGAAGAAGCTTACATGTACCACGGAATTACTAATGGACTCAGTCATCACGTTGTCTATTAAGCACTTGATTGTAAAAATAGAAAATTAATAAAATATTTATTTTTAAAAAATATAATTTCATCTGGATTTTATCCTAATTAAACATATATGCATTAATGTTATTATGATTAAATGTGCTGCATGAAGAATGCAGGCAAACTATTGTAGAAAAAAAGACATTTTACTGAAACATTGTCAATACCATTGCATTAATAATGGCTTCTCAATTTCCAAAATATGCCAAATAAGATTCTGGACATCTCAGGTCTCCTATTTCCCCTAATTTTTAAAAGCTATTACTTTTACGTGTTTTTGCAAGTATTTGCCAGTATTTTACAGGTAATCCTCAACTTATGACTTGACCATTATAGTCATAAGTAGTTATGTCATTAAGCAAGAAAGCCTTGCTTAAGGGCCCCAATCTCTTGCCCTCCCTGATGCAGCCCTTAAACAAACATCTGGGTTCTTAAGCACAGCACAGATGCCTCAGAAGTGAGAGAGGACCTAGGACACGGGTCGGCAACCCGTGGCTCCAGAACCACATGCGGCTTCCAGCCTCCTCTGCCATTTGCAGAGAGAGATAGAGACAGAGACAGAGACAGAGAGAGGCACTTGCACTTCCCTTCTCTCTCTCTCTCTCTCGCTCTCTCTCTCTCTGTAAAAAAGAGAATGGCCTTACGCTATTCTCTGATGAGCTGACAAGCTTATTGGGCAGGGCTCTTGCCTTCTCTGTCCCTCTGCAGGAAGCAGGAAGGGCAGGAGACAGCCAGCCCAATAAGAATGTGTGTCAGCTTGTTGGAGAACAGCTTGAAGCCAGCTTGCCAGGTGAGCAGAAAATCGGAGAGAGGGAGAGAGGGGGGGAGGGGGGGGAGGGGAGAGAGAGAAAAAAAGAGGGAGAAAGAGAGAGAGGGAAAGAGAAAAAGAGAGAGGGAGGGAGAAAGAGAGAGAGGGAGAGAGAGAAAAAAAAGAGGAAAGAAAAAGAGAGGAAAAAGAGAGGGGGAGAGGAAAGAGAGAGAGAGGAGAGGGAGAGAAAGAGATAAAGAGAGAGGGAGAGAAAGAGGGAGAGGAAAGAAAGAGAGAGAGAGAGACAGAGGAAGAGAGAAAGAGGGAGGGGGAGAGGAAAGAGAGCGAGAGAGAGAGAGGGAGAAAGGAAAGAGAGAGAAAGACAGAGAGGAAAGAGAAAGAGAGAGGGAGAGGGAGAGGGAGAGGAAAGAAAGAGACAGAGAGGGAGGGGAGAGAGGGAGAGAGGAAAGAGAGAGAAAGAGAGAGAGGAAAGAGATAGAGAGAGAGGGAGAGGAAAGAGAAAGAGAGAGAACTCATGCACAGCAGCCTCTATTTCTTTTTAATTAAACTCTTCAATTAAGCTCTCCCCCTTGCGTGCATGCTCGTGTGTGCGCAAGTTTTGTGGCTCCCAGTGTTTTCTTTTCTCTGGGAAACAGGTCCAAGTGGCTCTTTGAGTGTTTAAGGTTGTAGACCTCTGCCACCCAGCCATCCAAGATAACCTAAAACCAGACAGCAGAAGCTATTGGGGTGCAAGGAGCTGTTATATAGTTTTAGTTCCCAACTTCCATCCTACCCAGTCACCAAGGAAGCTGAAGGAGGGGAAAACATATAACAAGTTTCAGAGATAAAACATATATATGTTTTCTGAGGTTTTCGTGGGTGTTTGTAGGTAGGTCTTTGGTTATTCGGGTTTTCTCCCATGTAAAATTGGAAGTGTCTTGGCGACGTTTCGACGAAGTCCCATTTGTCATCTTCAGGCTGGTGTTTTTGGCTTCATGCTTCTAGGAGCAAATTTGTGCTTCTAGGAGCGCTCCTAGAAGCACAAATTTGCTCCTAGAAGCATGAAGCCGAAAACACCAGCCTGAAGATGACGAATGGGACTTCGTTGAAACGTCGCCAAGACACTTCCAATTTTACACGGGAGAAATATATATATATTCTTAAGAATGCTGAAAACAAAAAGGTGATTCCTGGTTAAACTCATGTTAACTAGCAAAAAATGTTATAATTTCCTTTGCTAGTATATATATATATATATATATATATATATATATATATATATATATATATATATACATATACATATATATGGTCTCTAATTATGCTAAAAATATGAATCCTGTAAATCCGTACTATAAAATACACCAGGATAATACTAAAAACAAAACTGTTTAATTAAAAGCTGAGCCTTTCATCAGTCAACACTACCGACATCATCAGAGTATGATGCAAGATTGCTGGGAGTCCTTCTTATGTTGCTGGGCGGCTTTGCGCTCGGCTCCTTGACCTGGTTACCGGTCCATCTGTTCTCTCCATCTGGTTTCTTAAAGGACCCACGTCCTTTATTGTGTTAATGTCCTCTGAAGTTGCTGTTTCCTTCCTCCTGGATCCAACCACTCTCCGTTTCTGTTCGCCCACTCTCACACCTGTCATCCTCTCTAGCCCCATTTCGTGGTCCGTTAGATCCTCCCTGGACTGACTATGCTTGCGTGCGTTCGAGGGAGGGTGTGTGTCAAGCGGGTCCGGACGTCTATTAGCGCAATTCCTGGCGGCTGCATTCCTGCACACATTCCTCCACCCAGGAATGCTGTTTTCCTCCTCAGGTGTCCGTGAGTATGCTGTACCACTTCTAGTTGTCCCCTTCCTCTTGAGATTCCTCATTACTTGCTCGCACGTTGGGTTCATCAGTTCTTTTGCTCTTTTTGCACATGTGCGGGGCCTCACAACATCACTTTCCATCGTGGGTCTCTGTTTTCCTTCCTATTCGCATCTGTAGAATAACCCATCTCTCCCCTCATGTTGGCAGGGATCGTGGAGCAGGCGTCCCGTGGGCTATCGTCCAATCCCCTTTGTTGTTCACCCCCATCATTGTTTCCCCTTTTTATGGGGTGAGTTGAAATATGCTTATCTGGGTTACCTAGGGGGGGATGTTTCTTGTTCCTTCTCTGTTCTTCTTATAGATTCTTTGTCCCATGGATGGGTTATCTCCTCTATTCTTCCTTCCCTCAGATTTTGTGAGGGAAGTGCCAATTGTCTTTGTTGTAGATTCAGATGTTGTTGTTCCCATACCTTATGGTATGCTGGGCAAAGCTTTATATGGCGATTGATGGAGTTGCCATCGGAAAGCCAGGCTTCTTTAAGTAGACGGCCCCCCTTAGTAGTGTCCCTAGATATGGGCTGTGCACTATTAAGGTCAAATTCATGCCCATGATCGTTCATGTGGGCCCAAATCTGTAAGTGCTGTTCCTTTCTAACCGCTAGTGCATGCTCATGCACCCTAGTTTTTAATATTTTTGTGGTTTCCCCAACATGTGCAAAAAGAGCAAAAGAACTGATGAACCCAACGTGCGAGTAAGTAATGAGGAGCCTCATGAGGAGGGGGACAACTAGAAGAGGTACAGCATACTTACAGACACCTGAGGAGGAAAACAGCGTCCCTGGGTGGAGGAATGTGTGCAGGAATTCAGCCGCCAGGAATTGTGCCGATAGACATCCGCACCCGCTTGATACACACCCCCCCTCGAATGCACGCAAGCATAGTCAGTCCAGAGAGGATCCAACAGACCACGGAATGGGGCTAGAGAGGATGACAGGTGTAAGAGTGGGCAAACAGAAACAGAGAATAGTTGGATCCAGGAGGAAGGAAACAGCAACTTTGGAGGTAGGGGAAAAACGGTAATTCTGTTGTTGCTGAACAACAAAATCAGTAGGGGAATGCAGATGTATTATTCAAAGCCATAGCCAAATGCACAGGTGGCCTGAATCACAGATTTAGTATCAATGTCTTAAAGTAATGTTCCTCTGTTCTTTCTGTATTAATGAAAATAGTCTGGGACCAATAACTTACCTTTTATACCTCCAAATGGTCCGTGTGTCATGTTATATGCTGTTCGATAAAGACTGTGTTCATACATACATTTTAGCTGGTATTGGTTGCCATGTTCTATATTTCCTAAACTTCCTATTAAATAAAAGAAAGGGCTGCCTTAAGTTTGCAGTATTTTCTGTGGAAAATGTATTGTGAAAGATGCCATAATATATTTATGTTACACTTTAATACAGGTGTCAGAATTCAGGTTTCATTAATATATCATATGTCGCCCCCCCCCCATTCTTTTGAATATACAACAAAACTGAGGGAAAAATTAACCATTTATTAAAAGTAAGTGCAGTACATTTTTCTCACAAAACTGGAAATTTTCAGTTTATTCTCTGTTTGATGCTGATGTCAAATACAGAAAACAAAAATCTCCATTATACTAATGGAGGAATGACATCATAATCTCTCTAAATTTTGGTGAACTGTTAATTCGTCATCATCTATAATTTGCTATTTAGACTCAACAAAGCTTGGTATCTAACAAGTAAAGAGCTGCAAGCTACCTATTTCTTTAGAGGACAGAGAGAAAGGTTTGTTAATCCACTTTTTGTATCAGGGAGTTTTTAAAATATGAAGGTTCAAAACATGTTATTCCTCTACAGATCATCTATTTATATTGTCATTAAAGATTGAAGCAATTTGATGGCACAATTAAACCATCACATTATTAGCTACAATACAGTCCTTCCAAGAGGGTGCTTCATCTTGTTTCTGTATGTATGACCCAACCCTTTTACTGTTGATGATTGAAACAAATGAAATACAGTGAACTAACCTTGGCTCTAATATAATTACGCTTAAACTTCTTTAGTCAGCTAAGGAAAAATGTTGAGCTGCAAGTTTATATATTAAAGTATGCTTCTATAAATACATTTTCAAAAAGAACTTATATCTCTTGATACTGTGCTTTATAAGTTCACATGCCATTTTCAAAAGCTCCACTTAATGACTACATCAGAGCAACCAAGAATGATAGCTGTTAAGCAAGGCAACCACATGGTCACCTTGTTAAATGACAATCATAACTTGCAATCGTAATGGTAATTATGGTCATAGGTCAAGAACTACTTTGCACTGTTAGAAACTTCCTTTTCATTGCCACAAATTAAGAGGAAAACTTTTCTAGAAGTACTAATATTACTTGACCTTTCTAATATTTACTTTTCTAATACTGTTAGGATATATATATAGGAAGGGGTATCTTCTTTTTTATAATACCGTATGAAATAGATTTGATATCATTAAATCTGTTGGAAGAAAAACATGCTATATTTTATAAGTGGAAAATAAGGAAAGTAAGTTTCCATCATAATTTGATTTCTTTTTTACCTGAGACAGCATAGACGCATAATTTTTTGTAGTGCAATACAGCCAGATGAAGCAATTCTGTGCCACTAGCGGAAAGGACAAAGATGAAAATATGATTAAAGATACTTCTTGAATATCAAAAATCTAAAAGACCAATAAATCATACTAAATACCAATAGCACAAAACATACAAAGTTTTTTTTTGTAGTTAATACTTTAACAATTTTTAATAGCTTTATACTGATGTACACTTATCAAACTTATCTTAAACCCAAACAGAAACTATGTGGCAGCTTAAAGTTCCCTGATTCAGTCATCTCCTTAATTCATATGATTATAAGAAAGGCAGGACATACAGCATAATTGGACTTGCAAAATCCCATCAATATAAGAACTATCAAAACAAATTAGTTTTAGCCTTTCTATGGAGTTGATTCCTGATTTGGTCCACCTGATGAGTTAATTTCATTCTTGTAAGTCTGACTGATTTTGTATGTATTTTGTATTTCATATGCAACCTCTCTAAATCATATAGACTCCAGTTAACTTTCTGGAAGTAGCCAAATTTCATAGCTGGGATGAATGAATGGATGGATAATCTGGGCATCTGTACAGCACTGCAATAACCATTAATTATAATAAAATGATGAAACTTATTTAGCTGGATTTATCAGGTGCCCAACTCTAATGGATTCTTTATTTTCTTTTATTACCATAACAAACATCTTATGTAATAAGTGAGCCAGAGAGAGCATAATTAAATAATGGTGGACTGGGACATAGGTGTCAAAAACCAATCTAGTTAGGATTATGGAAGGCTGTCCCTGAAACTAACAGTTTTCAACAATTCTGACTAGTCTCCAACCTTCCTTTTGGGGGAAAGATTGTTGAAAATATGGACAGCTGCAACTGATTATAATTCTGGAGGAAATGGATTATCTAAACCCATTTCAGTCAAGCTTCAGGCTGAGATTTAGTACAGTTGATGACCTGTTGCAAAGCCTACAGATAGCACAACCATCCTTGTGCTTCTTGATTTCTTGGTAGTTGTCAGTATCACTGACAAAAGTATTCTGAGCCAGCACCATTGGTTGGGAATTGAGGGCTGTGTTTTATAATGTTTCTCTCTCTTTCTCCTGGATCAGTTTCAGTCAATGTTATTTGGAGTCAATTCCTAGGCCCCTCCTTTGAGGATGCCTCAGGGTTGTTATCTTTCTCCTTTTCAATATCTACATGAAACCACTAGATCAGTTCATTTGCCAGCCTGGAATTAGGTTTTATTACTATACTAATGATAGCAAATTATATTTTTTGACCCCAGGTCAGCTAAGTGAGTATATCAAGATTCTGTCCTCAGTGCCTGGAAACTATTAGGGTTTGGATGAGGAAGAACCATCTCCACCACAATCCACCAAGAGTGAATAACTGTGGGTGTTTTGACCACTCAGATCTAGAGCTATTCCATATTTGAGGCCCTTCCCTCTTCAAGGTTGGTGCACAATCTAAGAGTTTTGAATTCAAGCTCCTGCCTGAAAAGCAGATGGGAGTTCTGACGATGAAGGCCTTTGAACAATTTCATCTGGTGAAACAGTTGTACCATCTCTTATATCAGAGGAACCTTCAGATAATCACTTATGCCTTAGTCACCTTGTATGACAAAATTAGTGGACCAGAGGAATGCTGTGGATATAATTTACTTGGACTTCAGTAAGGCATTTGATAAAGTAGACCACAACCTACTACTTGATAAGATGTGGGTTAGACAACATCAACACCGTAGCTGGTTGACCGGCCATACTCAGCGTGTGGTCCTCAATGGAACTGCATCTACATGGAGGGAAGTGTGTAATGGGGTGCCCCAGGGCTATATACTGGGCCCAATGCTCTTCAACATCTTCATCAATGATTTGGATGAGGGGATAGATGGGGAACTCTTCAAATTTGCAGACGACACCAAGCTGGCAGGAATAGCCAACACTCCAGAACACTGACACACTTGAACATTGGGCACTATGTAACAAATTAAATTCAGTGGTGAAAAAAGTAAGGTTCTACATTTTGGCAAGAAAAAGCAAATGCACAGGTATAGTACAGGTGGTACCTTGCTCAATAGTAGTAACTGTGAGAGGGATCTCAGAGTCCTAGTGGACAATCACTAGAGGCAAATAAAATCACTACTAAAAGCCAACAGGGGTTTGTCAAAAACAGATCATGCCCAACAAACCTTATTGCATTCTTTAACCAAGTGAAAAAATTAGTGAATCAGAGGAATGCTGTGGATATAATTTACTTGAACTTCAGTAAGGCATTTGATAAAGTAGATCACAACCTACTACTTGATAAGATAGAAAAATGTGGGTTAGACAGCATCACCACCAGATGGATTCGTAGTTGGCTGACCGGCGGTACTCAGAGTTTGGTCCTCAATGGAATCACATCTACATGGAGGGAAGTGTGTAGTGGGGTGCCCCAGGGCTCTGTTCTAGGCCCAGTGCTCTTCAACATCTTCATCAACGATTTGGACGAAGGGATAGATGGGAAACTCATCAAATTTGCAGATGACACCAAGCTGGCAGGAATAGCCAACACTCCAGAAGACAGGCTTAAGATACAGGAGGACCTGGACAGACTTGAACACTGGGTGCTATCTAACAAAATGGAATGCAATGGTGAAAAAAGTAAGATTCTACATTTAGGCAAGAAAAACCAAATGTACAGGTATAGTATAGGTGGTTCCTTGCTCAATAGTAGTAACTGTGAGAGGGATCTCGTAGTCCTAGTGGACAAATATTTAAATATGAGCCAGCAGTGTGCTGCAGTTGCCAAAAAAGCCAACACAGTGCTGGGCTGCATTAACAGAGGGATAGAATCAAGATCACGTGAAGTGTTAATACCACTTTACAACGCCTTGGTAAGGCCACACTTGGAATACTGCATCCAGTTTTGGTCACCATGATGTAAAAAAGAGCTGAGACTCTAGAAAGAGTACAGAGAAGAGCAACAAAGATGATCAGGGGACTGGAAATTAAAACATATAAGGAACGGTTGATGGAATTGGGTATGTCTAGTTTAACGAAGAGAAGGACAAGGGAGGACATGATAGCAGTGTTCCAATAACTTTGTGGGGCTGCCACAAAGAAGAGGGAGTCAAGCTATTCTCCAAAGCACCTGAAGGCAGGACAAGAAGCAACGGATGGAAACTAATCAAGGAGAGAAGCAACCTAGAACTAAGGAGAAACTTCCTGACAGTTAGAACAATTAACCAGTGAAACAACCTGCCTCCAGAATGCTCCAGCACTGGAAGTTTTTAAGAAGAGACTGGACAACCATTTGTTCGAAATGGTGTAGGGCAGAGGTTCTCAACCTGTGGGTCGGGACCCCATTTGGGGTCGAATGACCATTTCACAGGGGTCGCCAAACAATGCAGTCCGCCATTTTTCCCCCTTTTCCTTAACTGTTCTACTCCCTTTTATTCTATTGGCTTTTGAAAGCCAATAGAATAGACTCTCTTGAATAGAGTCTAATTCTATTGGCTTTCAAAAGCCAATAGGAATTGTCCAGGCTGTTTCTGCCCTGCTGAGCCCGCCAAAAGTCCCATTCTGCAAACAGTGCTGCACCAGTTGAGTAGTCCTTGACTTACAACTGGTTGAGTAGTCTTCGAGTTACAACTGGTTGGGGGGTCGCGGCATTAAAAAGGTTGAGAACCACTGGTGTAGGGTTTCCTGCATGAGCAGGGAATTGGACTCGATGATCTCCAAGGTCCCTTCCAACTTTATTATTATTATTACTAAATATGAGCCAACAGTCTGCTGCAGTTGCCAAAAATGCCAACACAGTGCTAGCCTGCATTAACAGAGGGACAGAATCAAGATCATATGAAGTGTTAATACCACTTTACAATGTCTTGGTAAGGCCACACTTGAAATACTGCATTCAGTTTTGGTCACCACAATGTAAAAAAGACGTTAAGAATCTAGAAAGAGTACAGAGAAGAGCAACAAAGACGATTAGGGCACTGGAGGCTAAAACATATAAGTAACAGTTGCTGGAATTGGGTATGTCTAGTTTAATGAAGATAAGGACGAGGGGGGACATGATAGTAGTGTTCCACTATCTCAGGGGTTGCCACAAAGAAAAGGGAGTCAAGCTATTCTCCAAAGCACCTGAAGGCAGGACAAGAAGCAATGGATGAAAACTAACCAAAGATAGAAGCAACCTAGAACTAAGGAGAAATTTCCTGATAGTTAAAACAATTAATCAAAGTCCATTCCTCCAAGGTCCCTTCCATCATCATCATCATCACCCTCTGCTCTACATAAGGCTTGAGGAACTACCTGTCTCTCATAACATCCACACAGCCAATTAAATTCTGCAGAGTTGGTACACTCTGAGCTCTTTCAATTAAACAAAGACATCTGTTGGAACCCTGGAAGCATGTCTTGTCTATAGCAGTGATATCTTCTGCAACAAAATTGTCCCTGAAATCCAGATGGTCCTCACACTGCTATTGTTTAGAAAAACTATGAAGGTCTGGCTTTTTACCCCAGCCTTTCTTGATGGAAAGTGAGACCTCTTACTACCTTCCATTTCGTCTGTTGTGCTTGCAATCTTTTATTGTTATCATTTTATTTACTTATTATAATGTGTTTGATTACTTGAGTTGCCCAGGGTTGTTGAGTTAGCCAACATACAAGTTTAATAAATTTTTAAAATAATAAATACGTTACTATTATTTATTTAAAAATAACTCTTTTTGCAAGTTGTCACCCTTAAAAATTCAGTTTGCCTTTTTTACTTACCATTATTGGATATTGTGGTAAACTATAATTCAAGAAAGCCAAGAAACAGTGGAATATATTATTGGAAAGTGAAAGATGATAACATATTTCTGATTTTTTGATAAATGTCTAATTAAATATAAAATTAACAAGACTTTTTTTCTATTCTCCTAGAGCTATATTAGGAAACCTAATACTTATGACTCCTTCATGGATTACTGCCTTGTCATGGCAAAGGGGCTATGCCATGCAGGGCCACCCAAAATGAACAGGTCATAGCAGAGAGTTCTGACAAAATGTGACCCACT